TGAGTGCAGAATGATTGTGAATTTTGGCTTCGAGGGCATAACTCGTTTAATAGTAAGGAGTCCGTTTTTCGGATATCCGCTTGTTAAAGTATCTGTGATTTTATTAAGATTGAAAGATACTGAGAGAAGTATTAGTAAAATTTTATATTGAGAGTACCGACCACGTGAACGACGTGGAAGTCGTTCAATGGGGCCCCGGAATGCTGTCGGGGAGAAACCCTGACAAGGGTATCTGCCAGTGTTTTTCAACGTCGGGAGTTGTCTGACCCTTTTCCTTAATTGGAAGACTTGATGAGATTGACGTTGCCAAGGTTTATTCAGACCAACGTTATGACTGAGACACTTAAACTTTTCTCGAACCTGACGTCGTCGACGCAGGACGACATCGACATCCGTGCGGGATAACGGCAGTCGGCACTGTCGTCCGCAGGTCTCGACGAGACCGCAGTAGCGTGCGGTCATGGGAAAACTAAAGTTACGGTCTAGTTACCTATAATAAGGTCGTGCGGCTGTTAAGCCGCGCGATTCAGAGCCTAAGTGAGCCAAAAAGGGGTCGCCGCGACAAGATTGGACGGCGGCATGAAAGGATGATTTCGGGGGTCCATGGGACGTGCGCCGAGGACCTGGGGGCGAAGGCGTCGAGGCCGGCTGAGTAGGGCAGTTGTTAAAGCTGTCGGCCACCGACCCCGCCCGCTAGCAACGACAACAAGCTGGCTTAGCAGGCGCAGGCGCCAGGAAGGGGCCTGCTGGGCATTGGAAGCCCTTCATATAGAAGGACCGCTCCTTTTCTGATGTGAAAAGGAGCTAGCCCAGTAGGTACCGTCGCCAGATTACCACCCCGCAGACATGGGGATCGAACCTAAGTAACAGCACTACCGGGCTAGCTCCTTTTGGAGCAGCCCACGAGCCCTGAGTGGGCACGACCGATTTCGGCCGTGCGATCTTCAAGATCGCGGGGCTGAAATCAGCCGCGGCGAGATAGCAAGGCTCTTGCGCAGGGATAACACGCATGAATCGAGAAATGGTCCGAATTTTTTTCTTCTTCTGGGAAAAAAAAAAAAAAAAAAAACAACCTTACCTGTTCCGTAGCTGGACGTGTAAGCATCCAGGTGCGGGCGCGATGGAGACAACTACAACGTCGAGGTAGGTCGGTTCTTTCTTCTTCTTCTGTTGTTGTTGGTTTTTTTTTTTTTTTTTTTTTTTTTTTTTTTTTTTTTTTTTTTTGTCCGCGACCGTGTTGTGGCATAATATTTCGTTTTTAAGCAAACACTCGAAGAAGAGATTGCGGCCACGTAAGCCCATAAAATGTGACCGTTGTGGGGAAAAAAAAAACAAAAAAAAAACACTAAACTAAAACTAAAATAAAGCGCCATCTGGCGCAGGGAGAATTGACGGGGATTTAGTGTCCCCACGAAAAGTAACGGAAGCCCGTTTTTTGGGCAGCCCTTTCAGATCAAGGTAGGGTTTTCCTTTTTTTTCTTTTTGATTTTTTTCATCATTAGATTTTGCTTAGATTTTTTTTGGGTTTCTTTTGTTAGATTTGGTTTAGATTTTTTTCTTTTTTTTTTATGTTTTTTTTCTCTGGTACTCGTTCGTTTCAAACGAACAGGCCGAGATGACTGCGCCGACTGTTTCGTCGGACTTCCACCGCCTCATCACTAGACATTGCCCAATAGCCCATCTGTAGATGGGCGAATGAATTTGCCGCCTACGGGCGGCTACATTCGGAGTAGTACAGGGGGGGGGACACGACTGTGCCAAACTGTTTCGTCGGACTTTCACCGACTCATCAGAAGGCTGAACCTTGACAGTCGCCCAGTCTGGCTGGTTGGCCCGAGTCAACCAGCTGTGAGAATGCAGTTGTGTGCGGGCGAGACGAAGTGAGTGAGGGAGAAGGAGGAGAAGTCCGACAGGTAGGCTGCGGCCGTTCATTTTGGAACGGGCCGCTTACCTTGGCCGCGCCCCTGTATCAGGCGCTTGTTGTAAGCCAGGTGCGGGCGCAGGGCTAAGGGGGAAAAAAAGACCCTGTTGAGCTTGACTCTAGTTCGACTCTGTGAAATGACCTGAGGGGGGTGATGTGCTCGTTCGTTTTTAAACGACGAGCTGCCCCTCTGTAGAAAAAAAGAAAAAAAATAACGAAAAGAAAATAAAGGGGAGGGTAGAAGTTGGAAAAAGAAAAGGGAACGGCCGCGGATTTAGCTGCGGCCTCGGTCCAGATGCAAGTTTAGAAGCATCTGGACTATGGATAGATAGCAGACTGTTGGTTTCAGCAGTCTGCTTGAAAATGGCTGAGTACAACCATTTCTGGGCTGCGTCCGGCCGCGGGTGAAGGCCAGATGCATTACCAGGGTACAGAACTTGGTTCCCCTAGGGGAACATCAAGTTTCCTGGCCCTTGATCGCGATTTAGATCGAGGGCCAGGCTCTGTTCCGGGATTTGCCTGGGGGCAAAGCAGCTGCCCTCAGCCTTCAGCCAACTATAAAAGCTAGCCTGCCATCCAGCAGCCTCACACTTGTGGCAATGCTGCTGGGGCATTCTACTTGAGTAGATACTGGCTGGCTGGCTGCTGGTGTGATGAGGCGAAGTGCTGGAGGTCTGCAGAAGCACTTGGAGGAAGGAGGAGGCAGCAATAGCTAAAGGCTAGGAGCTTCTTGCCCCACCTTCTGTGCTGTGCTGCACGCTGTGGGAAAGCCGTGGCCTTGAGGTTGCTGCTGGTTTTCTAGGGAGGTGCGGCGGAAGCGCTGCCGAATTTTTGCGGCAGCAGCACCTGTTTTCTTCGCGGAACAGCGAAAGCGCTGCCGAAATTGTGCGGCGGCAGCGCTGGTATTCTTGGTGGAACAGCGGAAGCGCTGCCGAAATTGTGCGACGACAGCGCTGGTATTCTTGGCGGTACAGCGGAAGCGCTGCCGAATTCTTGCAGCGGCAAGACCGATTTTCTTGGCGGTACGGCGAGGGTGCTGCTGGATTATGTGGCAACAGTATTTTACACAAGACTGCGAGAAGGGGGGTTGGACGTTGTCGCAGGGACGGTACCGCCAAGGTGGAAGTGCACCTTGGAACAGAAAGGGTGTGACAATCGTCTTGTTGACGGGGTTGCGGCACGTGGCACTTGTAAGAATTGTTAAGACCGTTGTTATTTTTTTTGCGGCATACCGAGTAAGCGGGGATTGGGTCCGGGACCACCAAGTATTGCGGCAGGCAGGTGGCGACCTGACTTGGTATTTGGTGGGTTGAATTGACGCTGTTTTTGGTGGAAGGTGTGACGTTGAGGCTGTGGGATTTGAGAGTTGAACACTCTCCTCAACGGCGAGCTCGCTTCTGTGTTGGTGAGCGGCGCCTGAGTCAGTGGTGGCACTTGAAGGAGGGTGTGGCTCGTCCTTGAGAACGGCCACAGCGAAGGTCGTGAGACCGAACTTTTCTTGAGAACATATTTGGCTTCTTGAGTGGGCCTTCAAAAAATTCACTCAAGGTCAGTGCGACTTAGTTCCTTTGCACACCCGCGTGAACCCACACATTGCATGACCTTGCTTTGAATTTAGGGGAAAAGGTAGAGTAAAAGTGTGATGTCATGCGTGTGAAGAAAGGGCTGACTTGTTTTGGGGATGGATATATCTCTGGATTGTTTCTTTTCTTGATTGTGCAGGTAGGTTGGGAGATGCATGTGAGAAGGAATCAACATTGGTTGCTCGAGATAATAATGAGGATGCTTACCTCTCCCCCACTCAGCCTGAATACATGTGACAAGAAAGAGGAGAAAGAAAAATAATAATAGAAGCGCGAACGGACGAGTGCCGAAAGAATGAAGGCTATGGAAAAATTAAAAGAAAAGAAGACAAGGGAACATCTTAGTATCTCCCCAAGGATTTCCCCATTCTATCCCGAACGACCACTATCCTTCTATGCCCGTCCAAAACATCTTACTTTTTTCTCTTCTTAATCCGTCTAAGTCGACCCTTAGCCGGGAAGGCATAGAGTCGTCGTCTGGACCTAGGATCTAGGCTTCTTCTCTCTAGGAGACATCTGAGGCGGGGGTTCGCTGCCTTAGGGGCCGGCCCTGTTATCGACTCGGAGCGGACCGCTTATGCGGGGGGATACCATGCTGTCGCGGTGGAGCCAGCCCAACTTCTGAGTTCTGAACAATGTGTTCGGGCGAGGGGGAGGGGTATTCCAACCCACTTCCTAGAGGGAAGGGTGTCTTGAAGCCAGGGGCAGTCGCCTCCTCGTGTGTTCAGGGAAAGGGGAGGCTGAATCTAGTACCCGGCCGGGTGGCCGCTTTAGGAGCCACCAACGTGTGGGAGGGTTGGCGCCACAAGAATCCCAGCCCGTGATTCAACTAGTGTTAACGAGAGTGCAAATAGGCACTTCTCTCGCGATCGGACACAAGAATCACGGCCCAAAAAGGGGAGTGAAAATTGAGCATGAAAGTGGGTATGTCTGAATTATTTTGACAAGAGTTACCGCTTCGTCGTTCAGATGCTTGTGGAGACAGTGATTCTCCGATTGTTCAGCACACGCGAGGCGGCGTCTAATTGGTTAGCGGTGCCGACACGATCCCGCGACGGCATGATACGGAAAGGAAGGCTGGTGTACAACCCACTTGAAGTTTACTCGGAACGGGATGCGCCGCGATTCTAGGACGCAAGCGTGAGGAAATCACCACGGAGTTATATTTTCTTGGTTGAGCCAGGCCAACGTATCGTGCGATATGATCTTGCGCCTCCTAATCCATCACGAGATTATGGAGACATGAACCTAGYTGTGGTTCACGAGGACWGTCARGGAGTAGAGAACATTCCTGAGGTTAGAGGGATGTTCCTCCATATTGTACCCCATTTGAACGATTTGCAAGGTTCGTTCGGCCTCCTCCATCACGTGAGACGGGTCCGAGCGAATAGATTTAATATCATTCGCTCGGAACTTTTCGACGTCACCRMGTTTTATRACGAGGCTTGTGAAGTTTATGAGCGCCTCTTCTAACAGGTGGCTTCTTCGGTGTGCAGATGCCTAGCGGACGGCGAAACCTAACTCTGGCCAGATATCTACTGATTCGCGACACTACGGACGAGGAGTTAATCCGGTGAGTCGAGCGATTATTACTAGTTCGAGATAGAGCTCCCACGCGGTGGATTGGTTTTATCGGCCTGCTCAGTGATGGGCAGGGATTCTTTTCCAACTCGCGCGCGGATGTTGGCGCCAATGTGACCCGACTTCCGGACGAAGTTCATGGATATACCTTGTACTTCCATCGCGCGAGCAACCTCCAGTGCCTCTCACGGGTCATCGTGAGCATTAAAATTACCCTATCCGGGGAGAGCTACGGCGTCGTACGGATTAAGGACACCACGACCACACACCTGTTTCGGATGCGTCAGCCGTTCCGCGCCATAGTCTGGAAGCTCGCCTCACGGATGACTTCTCTCTATGATACGCGGAAGGTTCAATTTTCGCGAGGTGGACGCGTCTCCACCTTGACTTTTGATGACAAGTAGCTTACGCGACTCGACCGGATAGAGGTTGAGGCCCATGAGGGCCGATAGGTTTATCCTTGCTGAGGGCACCCTCTCGGGTCAGGTGTAGTGGTAAGTTGTTCTTTTGTAGGGCCACATCTACGTGACTCTAGAAGGGTAATAATAATAAAAAAAAAACAACAATCTTGCGTAGGTAGGCCAACCAGATGGATAGTATCTGGATTAACCCGATGATGACACTATCATGCTTATGCATTCGATCGCTGAAGAATGAGCCGAGCAAAATGAAAATCGAACACCTGAGAAGGTGTTGAGCAAAAGGGCGAGGGCGAAGTATCAGGAGATGAAACATCTCCATACCAAGTATCTGGTGTCGGGGATGGGTGCCTCGTCATTCGTGGAACAGAGAGAGTAATTATTGCCTTAGAGGACAAATTGACCGACAGAATTATCAGTCGCTCCGCCGAGTAGATGTATGCGGTACGACAATATGGTGGAACCGGGAGCTCAAACATCGACCAGGAGCCAGATCACTTGTTGATCTGCATGGTACCAGCGGTATTTACTTGTTAAAGTTGTGCGCGACGGATCTTCCGTCTTCGGACGACAATACAATTGTCACTTCAATCCTGTGGGCAGGAAATGATAACCTTGGCATACCATCTCATCAAGTCGAAATGTTGTTTATGTATTGGTTTTATTCATTAGTAGGGGATTATAAAGGGACTAGGACTGTACATTGGGTTTCACGTTTGGTTGAGGCCGTCTTAGTCGACCGGCGCTCGTTCGTACCGAGGAGATCAGCGCCCTCGAAAACGGACAACGTTCGGGTCCACTTGGCGTTAACCAAGCGTACCTATACTCCAGCAAGCGAGCAAACGCCCTCGGCTGACCTACCTCTGCAATTACATGTAAAACCTTTCACACTTGGGTCAGTAGCTCCGTAGGGATACGCCCCTGAGGGTAGTGACAGCCCCTCAAGGAAAGTAAGTTGTGCCCCGCGAAAACCTATCCTGTCGTAGGGGATCGCGGGATGTATAGCTGGCGCACCCGGCTAGAGTGGCGACGGGACAATGCAACCGCGTCCGTTTCGGCGGTTCGCAGGATTATTTCTGCATCGTCCTAAGTTGTCTCTTGATTTTGTTTTGTTCTAACTCTTGCGTGACATAGCCGGCAGGGCACTCGCTCACGTGGAGGCCGATGCGCTCGACAACGTGTTAGAGATATTTAATTTTCAATAACTACCTAAACACTACCAAGCTTGTTCAATATGCATTATTTTATAATTCATCATCGTCTTATATTTAAAATGAACATTGAAATTTCAATCCAACTTACAACATATATGTAGAGAACACTTCGATGAAAGTTCACACTAGACCAAGATAAAATAAAAGAATCGACACTTGAAACATTGCCACTCGAAAATATAATATAACGCGATTGGAAAGTTTAAATGCTCAACATCAGTAACCACAATCCAACTATAGGTACGTAACCAACTCCCCCTCTCTCCCTATCTAACTCTCTCTCTCTCTCTTGTATCTCTCTCTTATCTCATTCTCAAGGCTTATGTCGCTTTTTCCTCCCGTACCTATATTTACCTTGAGAATAACTAGTGTATCCCTCTTTCTCTCTCTCTCATATCTCTCTCTTCTCTCATTCTTAAGACTTCTATCGCTTAACTTTCCTCTCTTCCCTAGATCCACCCTGAGAACAACTAGACCGTGTCGCCGTACTCTTGCAGCTTCAACCGCCTTCTTCCTCAATCTTCCAATACGAGCTATGGTAATCAGACGTCTTCTTCCCTGTTGGGCACTCACTCCTCCTCTAGCACTCACCTTCCATCCATATCGCACTTTGGCATAAGCAACTTACAGCACTTCCGCAACTTGCATATGAACAATTGATCTTGCTTGCTGGTGTTGTAGGATTTTTATACTTGTTAATCCGCCTTCCATTTTTTGCTTATGATTTGGTCCACTTCGCCCTTGTGCCTTGCTTCTAGAAGCTTACAAACTTTTATTTGGTTTGATTTCTTGCATGGATGGATTGACACCTGGCCTCATGAATTTGGTGCTATACCATGAAGCCCAACACCCCCTTCTATGACATTTTGACATATATCTCACCTAATGGGGGTATTTGGAAAATTACCCCCCCCCCCTCCCCAAAAGAAGAACGAGACACTCTCTCTCTCTCTCTCTTCCCCCCCCAAAAGGAGACATTATGTGTGTGTGTGTGTGTGTGTGTGTGAGAGAGAGAGAGAGAGAGAGAGAGAGAGAGAGAGAGAGAGAAAGAGAGGAGA